CGCTGCGCACAGCGATGGAGAGCCCACACCTGTCCTAATAGATGGCACGATGGCTCTCATTCTTCTCTGAGTAGTGCATTCCAAGCCAGGCAAGACTAATATTCTCGCTGACGTCTTGTCACGACGTCCCGACTACGATCCTCGGACTGCTCTGAGTCGTCAGGATACTGATGACGAGGACGATGATGACCGATGTGAGATGTGTGTATCGCTGAACTTAACTCGGGTTTTACTCGAGCCGTGTTTATTTGATACGATCGTCGCAGAGTACAAGGGATTAAGATTACACAGACATTATCGAGTATATGCGTGCTCTCAGCGATGTTGCACTGGGAGCTTTATCACAAACCAAGCGCGATCATATTTATCGATATAGTTTAGACGACGATTTGCTTCGGTATAGCATCGACCACTTCGATGCTCCTCGCACCGTGATCGCCAACGACATGGATTTGCGTGCTAGAATCATCCATGAGTATCACGATGCCCCGGCTGGTGGCCACTCAGGCCGCAAAAAGACTTTTGCGGCTGTATCTCGGGACTTTTACTGCCCACATGTAAAAAAGTGGATACGCAACTGAATCGAACGTGCGAAATCTGCCGGCGTGTAAAACCATCTCCATCGTCGCAGGCTCCCCTGCGACCGTTGCCGATTACAGCCTAGGCCTGGAGATCAGTTTAGATGGACTTAATTTTAGGGCTATCGCCCGGTAGTCAAGGTTGTTCGGCATCCTGGTTTTTGATGACAGATTCAGCAAGATGACACATCTAGTGCATGTTCACGCTACGATCACCGCGGCATAGATCGCGGTACACTTCATTGACACAGTGTTCCATCATGTTCTGCAAAAAAACATTGTTTCGGACTATGGTCCGCGATTCACATCCGCACTTGGACATCACTGTTCGAGATCCTCGGAAAAAAACTGCTGATGTCGATATCGTTCATTGGTAAGCGGATGGAGAAACCGAGCGCGTAAATCGAGTCCTCGGAGACGTTCTTCGAAGTTATGCTACGTCATTTACAAGTTGGAGTGCATTTTTACCACTCGCTGAGTTCGCACTCAACAACGCCGTACACGCGTCAACAGGGTTAACGCCATTCTTTGTGAATACGTCTCGTCCCCTCAAATTCCTACTCTCCTGACAGTGGGGTGGCCCACAACACCTAGGGGCTCCACTCTGGGGGATGAAGGTGATAAACAAGGATCGAGTACAGCTCACGGTACTTCGAGCGCGAATGTAGTAACCCGACCCAAGGAAAGACTGCTGCTATGACGCCACGTGAAGTGGCGTCCCCTTTAGTTCGATGGACTGCGCAGACATTGATTGATCCGTCTTCGGGTAATCGTTCGCCTACTGCCAACTACGGGCCGATTGAGTCGGTGTGATTTATTAACGACATGGCTGTGTCAGAATCTTTACTCCAACGTCAAACCATCACCCGGTTTGTACGCGACGCGCTTCAGTCTGCAGTGTACCAGCATAAAGAGAACGCTGGCAAATATGGCAGAAAGAACATGAGCAAGTTTGAAGAAGGCGATCGTGTTTCAATGTCTACAGAAGGTCTAAGGAATTTAGCGGTCACTAACCTGGGCGCGAGTAAACTCGACACGCTTCTTCGTTCCATTCAAGGTTCTGAAGGCAATCGGCGACGCTTATACACTCGCGTCCCCTCGTCATTGCGACTCCACCCGACATTCTATGTCGGGCGGCTATAAAAAACCGTCCTGCTACACTTACGGTTTGGCTCCAATGCCGGCTTCAGGGGTCCGTAAGTCGATCGACCTTCCCGTCGTGATTGACGCACCGATGAAATCGGGCGCGGCCGCGATGCCGTCTAAGAAAATGGCGCTCCAGAACCCTTATCCGTTCGAGCAGCTCACGGTTCGACTGCCGGGGCTCACTCGCAGTCTTCTCCGCCTGGGCAGCACGTTCACTGGCAGCCTCAGCTTCCAGCTGATCATTGGCATCTTTGTTCACGGCCTGATAATCATCGTCCTGGCTGGTCATGGTGCCAAACAGGTGCGCTGGATTGTAGACCGCTTTGTGGGTCACGAGGACCTCCCCGATTAGTATAGCAGTCGGCTCATTAGAAGTGCGCGGTTTCATCCGCGCGCAGGTACCAAGTACGTTGACTTGGATTCCCTCCCGATCAGGATACACGAAACTCGCGTACCTCTCTCCATCGTGACGTTTTCGGTGTGGTTCAGTCGTACGAAATTACGGAGTCGAGCTATTCCGATGCGAGCGTGAACGCTCACGTGACAAACAAGAACGGTAAGGAGATCCACGTCGTCGAGAACGAGAACGATGACGCGAACGATAACGATGTCGTGAACGAGAACGATGCCGTGAACGAGAACGTCGTGGAAAACATAATTATCACGATCGCGAGGCGAGAATCGCGCAACAGGACGGTCAGGCGAACGTGTCGCTGCCCCTGCGCTGATTATTCCGTGGAGATTGACTCCGCTGTCGCGAGTGGTGCTGCCAGCGAGGCGCACCACGAATAAATGCGCTTTTCCGTTCGCTCAGACTTCGTTCATACTTTGCAATCCAACTTCGTTCGCGTTCGCTGAGTGGACACTCAGCGATGTTTCGTCGCCACGCGTCATGAGTTGGGTGTGGAGTCGAATCACAAGACTGGCATCCTTCATTGACATGAACAAAGCAGAGGCGGTCCTCATTCCAAGTATTTTTACACACTCTTGTTAGAAAAAGGCACGGTTGAAGTTACAGTTGAGTAAACGGCTGACGACTAAGAAAGGCGTTTGAGTATCAGTTGAGTGATTGATTGGACAGGTGCGTGGATGGGTGATTGATTGGACAAGAGTGATGGAGAACAAGAACAACTAGTCCATCATGCTAGCACGAAAAAGATAACACTACAAACAATGTCAGAATCCTTTTATCACAGTGCCGCCGACTTCCTCTCTACAGCTTGCATCATGGCAAGCGAACAGGTCATGAGCCCAAGACGGAAAGCAAACGACGACACCGGAGCCAGCTCCTGCACGCTCAGCTGCTCGAAGCCGGCTTCCGGTAATGTATTTCCGACATGTGTCTATACTACCAAGTCGAGGGTGGACAGTTGGTCATCGTGGGCGTCTACGTCAACGATCTACTTGCTACCGGCACGGACGCTGCAGCCGTCGACCGATTCTTCTTCAAGATCGGCAGCTTGTCGATTAAGGACCTCGGTACCGTTAGCAAGTTTCTCGGCATGCGTGTCACGATTGATAACAGTGGCGGCTACGTGCTCGACCAGGACGAGGCGATCGGCGAGCTCCTGCGTGAGCATGGGCTCGAGGATGCAAACCTGACGAAAGAAACAATTGGGGCTGACTGCTACGACGTGCTACCAGATGACAGCGCGCTGCTCACCGAGACTAAGGTGCAGAAGGCGCCAACAATCAAGACGTTCCAGTCCCTCGTCGGCAGTCTTATGTGGATCGCGCGTTGCACACGGCCGGACATTGCGTTCGCCGCGCACAAGGCGACGCGTCAGACTCATCAGTCGCGACTCCACGATATAAAGCTTGCCAAACGCATCGCGCGGTACCTGAAGGGAACGCGTGACTACAAGCTTCGGATGGAACCAGCGAAGCACCTCGACGGCAAGATCCAGATCGAGGCGTACTCGGACGCCGACTTTGCGGCGGAAAAGAGTGACAGGAAATCCTTGACTGGCGGCATCATCCGCCTGAACGGCATGCCGGTCAGCTGGACGTCGAAGAAGCAAGGCGGCGTCTCGCTCTAGACGATGGAAGCGGAGTTCGTCGCTGCATCGGAGCAGGCGCGCGAGCTTCTTGGTATCAGGGAGATACTATCCGAGATCAGTAAGCCGTCGGCGCTACCCATGGTACTCCACGTCGACAATCAGGCGGCACTGAAGCAGCTGGCAGGCGAGGCGTCATCTCTCAAGGCCAAGCACATCGATGTTCGCACGAAGTTCGTGTTCACTTCGCTCGACGCAGGATCATCGTGTCGCAGTACGTCCGCTCGGAGCAACAACTCGCGGATCTTTTGACGAAGGCGCTGGATGCAGTCAAGCTTGCGGCGCTGTGCGAGATGATCAGCCTCGGTTAGGACGGCAAATCGTAGCCGAGGAGGAGTGTTGGAAAAAGGCACGGTTGAAGTTACAGTTGAGTAAACGGCTGACGACTAAGAAAGGCGTTTGAGTATCAGTTGAGTGATTGATTGGACAGGTGCGTGGATGGGTGATTGATTGGACAAGAGTGATGGAGAACAAGAACAACTAGTCCATCATGCTAGCACGAAAAAGATAACACTACAAACAATGTCAGAATCCTTTTATCACAGTGCCGCCGACTTCATCTCTACAGCTTGCATCATGGCAAGCGAACAACTCTTTTCCGTAGCGCACCGATGAAGTGATCGGCGCAAAGTTCCTTTCGATTGGCAATCCCTAGTTGGAAGCTACTATCATCCTCGAGCATATGATTTAAACGTCGGATGAAGGCGGACCAGGAACGTTGCAGGGCCTCATACCCGATTCCATTAAGACCCTTCCCGCGCATCTTTCGAAATCTGCGGAAATAGTCCCGCATCGTGTCCAGTGAGTCCGAAAATGCATAATCAGCCAATCCAAAATTAGCGAATAATGCAAAAGTAGCCAATCCGAATGCCGGAAAAAGATCGCCCGGACGGACGGACGGACAGTATTCTTTTATTATATAGAGATTATGTCATGTTTGCAATTTTATGAATATTGCACAAATGTATTCTTGATACTTCTCTATCACCTTACTATTTATATTCACTTCTTTTTCCCATGCTTTTGTCACACAAGAGACATACTGACGAGCCTGCTGCAATCAGAAGCACAAAATTATCCTACTGAGCGTTCCAGTGTCTAACTTTCAAATAGTCGCTTACTGTCCATTAAACCCTGACATTCATATTACTTAGCCATGACTCATCATTTACATACTTCACAGCTACTTTTGCTTTCCTTCACCATATCACCTTGTTTATTACTCGAAGCCAAAGCCAGTGATCTCCATTTGAATTACCTATAGACATAAACGACGACAGATGGCATTAGAACTCAACAACGCTCACGACTATGTTTGACACCAAAGAGATACTTGCCAGCGATAGATATGATTTGAGATCCTCTTTGGTCTCATACACCGGCAAATCGATGCGGTTGAAACAAGTGTGTGCACGCGGGCACATTCCAAGCGGTGGTGTGCCTAAAGGCACCATCTGCAGCGTGAATGGATGCACAATGCCACTGGCGCTTGTGAGCGCTCTAAACCCTTCTACAGGTACACGTGAACAGCCAGTTGCGAATTGCAAAAGTCGAGCACGCTGGTCATCGGTGAAGGATCCAACCACATCCCAAAACCACTCCATTACCTCAAGCTCTTGTTCAATACCATCTGAATCATTATCTTGAGCTGCATGCCGAACGCGCGAATTATTTTGCCAATCGGTCACATTTAAAGTGGGAAGTCCGCTGAGGTAGAAATCCAGCTCTTGATAATCGAAAATAGTGATCAATGACTTTGGAATAACCTCATATAACCCCTTGAGCAGCGCTGTAAGTTGTTCGGCCACGCTGTCCAACATGCGGTAGCGCAGCACCAGCGATAAATACTCAATCTTGTTTTCGTCGGTCACATCAATATTGGCTCCACCAGGTTTCAGCTCAACCGTGTCGCCCGACGGCGTCTGAATGCAGAACGTTACACACAGAGTATCCACATGGTCATTGTCTCGCACCCAACATAAGTGCTTGTGCAGTTCTTCGTCCAAAAACTCCAAGTCCGAAAAAGTGATGGGGACACCCAAAAGATGTTTCAGTAACGGCAGAGACATGCTCACTTCAAGAACAAGACCATCCAACATGGACTTGCCCAAAAGTCTACCAGCAAACGTAAAATATTGCAGGTGGTTCTGTCCTTCAGAAACACGCTTAGCCGACTCTGGGTTTATCCAGTAACTAGAGTCTTCTGCATGGGTCGTCACAAAAAGGCCTCGTTCAGCGCTAAAAAGTTCTTTACATACAAGTCCAAACCACTCTCGCAGTACACCTCCAGCATCCAGAGCTGGCTCGCCGATAAAGCCAATATTTAAATGCTCCTGCATCCTCGAAATTTCGACACCACTGCCGGCCAACTGAGGTAATGAATCGTCCAGAACGGCGCAACGCCGTACGTCGATTTTAAACATGGATTTAGTGTATGGCACGGACAGATTTGTAATTTGCTTGAGAAACCATCGCTTTTTCTCTCTCCACGTCATCGCCAGTACACCTTCAAAGTCTACCAATGGGTCTCCAGCACCACTTTTCATATCCACATCCAAGGCGATCGCGTCCGTCTTCTTGTACGCTACTGCAGTACCTGAAGGATTAAGCTCCGAGAAAAAGCCCATTGACGCTGCATTTTTTCGATGCAGCTGCTCAGCCAAATCCCCGTGTAAATTCTTCGCTTGTGGGTTTTTGGACATGAACGAACTGTTCCGTAGCTTGTGCACAAATGAGTCTGCTCTAGCAAAGACCGACCCTGATGCCGCAGATTCCATCGTCCGGACCCACACGAAGCCTCCACCAGGCAATGGTACCCGTTGCCACAATCTCCTTCTACTAGCTCCTCTCTGTTTCTGATTTAATTGCATCTCGTTCAGTCTTCTATACCGCAATGCTCTTTGTCTCATACTCATAGTAACTTCCAGTTCTTGGGTAATGCCACTAGACGACGACCTACTGCTTAGCATAGGCAACGTCTTAGCTTTTTGCAGTGTAGCAGACGTTGTCTTGGTTCTGTCATCCCTTATCACACCTAAATTGAAATCTGAACAGGTCCCTAGATTTTCCAGCAGTGTCGAACTCAGTAACGTGCTATTTTCAATGTCTAGAAATGTGGTTCTAGTCACACGTCGAGTCCTCGTATGGGCGCATGGGTCCTCCACCATCTCCTCCATCGTAGAAAATTCGGCCGATGTACCACACAAATGACACAGTTCATGGTTAGGATGATTCATGTGTGCACACACCAAACACTGCCACTCACTACGTCCTTCGTCCAATACCGTGTCCACCAGGTCTTCACGTAGCTGAAAATCGCGCAAATCTACTAAATCGATGGCCATATTATCTTCGAATCCGTAACATTTGTACGCACACATCACACAGAAGCAGAATAATAACACTATACAGATTCCTAAGACAATTAAAGCTTCACTTAGGGACGACGAGTCGCTCATGACGGACGAAATAATTGTCTTAAAATTGTATCGCGATTCCATGAAAAAAACCTTAAAATTGCATGGACATTATTGAATTTGGTGGATTTCAGCCAATGAAAGATCGTCTTGTCGTCGGTACGTCACACAAATTATACATTAAACCACATCATTGTTCTTGTATGCTTTGCATCCCTGGCCCGAAGAATGTGACGATGACTCTTATAGAGGCGCAAAATTTAAGGGAAGCTTGTAACGAGAATCCCAATACGTATACATTAGTACTGTAGCGAGATGTCTGCATGCAGCTCTTTATGCTGTATCGCTAATCAGAAAAAGCTGCGTCGCTCATCTCCGTAGCGATTAGGGAGGGGCCTGTCTCATTTATCAATTTTGACAAGAGATATGCATCTTTTGAAGAGCGCTTTTGTCGGGAAAGTGCAAGTTGCACTTAATATCGGTTGACGACGCAAACTCAGCGGATGCTTAAGCGGCGTTCTGATGTGACCAACACTATTTCGAGTGGACGACACCACTGGCAGATGTTTGGGGGCTAAGAAACAAAAAGCCTACAGAAGAATTTTCTAGATTGCTCTTTCCAAGCATGAATTAATTAGCTAAAAGTGTTTGTAGGGTTTTCTATAAGAGCTAATATGTTTTTTTCATTGACTACCTCGTTCACAGTTAACCCTCTGTAAGTAAACAAACAATAGGTTATGAGCCCCAATACGGCTGAGACGTATGATGTCTTAAATGAAGATAAATACTTCGCATGGAAGTTAAACGCACGGATGAAACTCGCCAAGACGGGCCTGCTGGAACACATCGACGCGACGAAGGCCCCGAGTGAAGGTGACGCTAGCGCGTCAACATGGAAAGTCAACGATATGAAGGCCTTTGCAATTGTGTGTACCATAATACATTCATGTCTTAAGTCCATGGTTTGGAATGCAGGGACGACGGCGGAAGCCTGGGATTGGAAGCTGCACGAGTTCAAGATACAGAAGGAAGAAAATGTAATGGATCACTTTCTCAACTTTGATGAGTTGTGCATGTCAATGCAAGCCATCGGTGATGAAGCTTCGCGGGATAAGCAACTCGTGATTCTACTTGGAAGCTTGTCGAATGAATACGATCAGATCTTAAAAATTAACGAAACTATAAGTGAGATTGATCTGTTTCAAGCCAAGGAGATGCTTCGTCGTGAATACGAAGGCATTGCTCAAAAGGAGAAGAGCGAAATCGCGTTGAAGGCTACAAGAAGCTTCAAGAATAAGAGTTTTCAGCCAAAGTGAACGAGGAACAAGTTTTCAGGGACGTGTTTTCTATGCGGAACAGTAGACACAAGAAACAAGAGTGCTGGCAGAATCCAGACAAGAAAAAGAGCTCAGAACAAGCGTCTACTGTGGGTTAACATGGATTTGAAGGCTGGCTACTTGACAGTGGTGCGAGTAGTCATACGTGTCCATTTCAAGATGAGTTTGTGGAGATTCGACCGCTAAACAGGTCTATCAGCATTTCGATTGCGAGTGAAAAAATAGTGTTGGCTGCTGGGTTGGGACAATTCGTGTCGTCTTGAAGAACAGAAGCCAATTCGGATCGAAGATGTATTGTATGTTCCGGATCTGGATCGTAGACTTTTGTCAATTCCCGCATTGTCCAAAAACATTTTACACGTATCATTTCGAGACAGAACATGTGAGATCAGGAATGATCAAGAAGTGGTGATTACAGTCATCCAAAAGGTTAAATTGTTTATGTTGAAATGTGACACACTGGAATCAGCAAACACGAGTGTAGTGGTTGGTGGTGGAGCCAAACCTGTAAGTCCAAGTGTATGGCATGCGCGATTAGGACATCTGCCGATGAAGGCAATGAAAACCTCGACAAGTTTGTAGGAGGTCTCAAGATGCAAAACTCGTCTGCTGTTAATGATGATCAAGATGAGATATGCGAAGGATGTTTGACTGGGAAGTCGTTAGTCAAGCCGTTTCCGAAATCAATTTAAGGCGAAGTAAAAACTACTTCACTGCTTCAAGTTGTTCACAGCGACGTAATAGGTTCAGTCGAGACCAAGTCGCAAGGAGGAGCAAGATTTGTGGTAACGTTTCTGGATGATTATTCACGCTATGTGGTCGCATCCTACGTCGCTCACAAGTCTGACGTAGTTGATAAGTTTATTGGATACAAGTCGATGATGGAACTAGTTGAATACCAAAATCAAGTGTATTCGCACAGATAATGGTGGTGAGTACATGAACACGAAATTCGCAGAAGTGTGTCGGAAAGCTGGAATAGTGCACCAAGCAACAGTGCCATATTCGCCGCAGCAAAATGGGATGGCTGAACGAATGATTCGGACACTAACGGAACGTGCAAGATCGATGTTGAATTTCATGCACGTGGAAAAGAAGTGGTGGAATGAAGCGATGAATACTGCGGTTAATGTGACTAACCGAGTTACGTTCGCTTCTTGGCCGACCAAGACTCCAATTAAAGTGTGTTTTGGAACTAAGACAGACCTATCGCACATGCGAGTTTTGGGTTCTCAAAGGTACGCTCACATTGACAAAACGAAGCGACAAAAATTGGACAAAAATACATTTTGCTGCATGTTCATTGGATACTCACATGAAGCGAAGGGATACCGCGTATGCAATTTTGATTCGAAAAGACTGGTGATTACGCGATCGGTGACCTTTAAAGAATTACCAAAGTTCAAGTATGTGCAAGATGTTGATAACATACCTGTCGCCGCACGTATGCATTATGATGATGATGACGATGTAAACATAATGTTACCGGTTCCTATGACTTCTAATGGAGTAGATACAATGACGGTGGAACAGACTGACAACGATTAAATTGTGTCACCTCCTAGTGAATTCGAGTATCTAACCTTACGCCAAGATTATACGCATGCGTCTGATCCTGCTTTTGATATTGATGATGTTTACATGGATCCAACCGATCTGGATGTGGATACGAACCAGGACATTGTGCCCAGGAGGGGCACAAATTATTTCGATGAATGCTCAGTCATGCAATCATCTTAGTTTGGTGGGCAAAATTCCCCGCTTGCGTTGTCCCCATCAATTCAAGGCTCTCAAGCTTTGGTCCCAATGGAAATGTCTAATGCCATTGTTTTCCGCGCTGAGAATACCAAGTCGAGCGTGTACCCAAAAGAAATCGCATTGAGTATGAGTAAGCTAATTCGGCACTCGAAAATCCATCAGCTAACCAAGATGCAATGGCGTCTTCTCAATACAAGATCTGGTGTGATGCGATCAAGATCGATTCAAAGGCACTTAATGAAAAGAAGACATGGACAGTCGTGGATAAGTCTCCAAATAATAAGGTAATTAAAACCAAGTAAGTTTTGCCATAAAGAGAAATGAAGATGGTAAAACTGAGCGTTTTAAGGCTCGACTTGTAGCGCTGGGTTATCGACAAACCTATGAAATTGACTATTACGATACGAACTCTCCGGTCGCGAACATGAATTCGATTCGTGTTTTTCTGGCAGTGTGTTGTCATTATGGTATGGCTATACAGCAATATGATGTTGATACAGCTTTCATCAATGGTGTTTTGGAAGAAGATGTGTATATTTACACGCCTCAAGTGTAACGGGGTGAGCCCGTTACATAATATTGATACTTATATGAAGTGTCAATA